CACAATGAAAGCACTTGCAACCCGGTGATGTAGTGTCCATACTCGACGTAAGACGTGATGATAGAGAACCTCAGTGAGGTGTCGGTGCCGCGCTCTTTCTTAAATATAATTAATAGATCAAATCCAATTGTTTGGACAAAGTCGATCTCCAGAGCTTGAGGCAACTCGTCGATGATGACAATTCCACTATATGATGACAAGGCGCAGTTGCCGCACATTCATGGTGGCGGCAAAAACAACTGCACCAAATTCTTTCACTTGCCTGAGTACTTTGGAAGGAAGTTTGAACCTTTTTGTCAACAAACCTTTGCAACATCGATGAGTCTTTACACATACATACCTTGACAGGCCTGACACGTTTTGGCTTGCTATTCAGGTCCACCAAGTCTATTTGGTCAATATTTGGTGTATTTGGAAGGGGTCATCAGAGTCGGAATAAGAATATGAGTCGTAAAAACATTATATAATCCTGCATCACAGTCACAAGTTTAGCACAGAAAGAAACACACAAAATTGAAAGCCAACCAGGAAACGGCTCAGTCCTCGCCAATGGATACAACATGATACGACTTAAAGCGCTTCCTGATTACTTTGAGAGTAGAGGTAGAGAAGTGGTTGGATGAAAACACGTTTTATTGCCAAATAGAAACCCCTTTCGCTGAAGAGAAGACGTAGCATCTTGATGCAAAATTCTTCCTGACCTCTTTCATGACGCGCAGAGTCGGATTCTTTCAAGTCGACAGAAGGCATCATCAGGGAAGAGGGGGGGAAGGCCGCAGGCGGATAGAGGATAAGAATGGATAATGATAAAGAGGTAAGCCAATGATTAGCTATTACGTAGGATGCTACAACATATGGGACATATTATGGACGCAGGAATAGCTCACGCTTCTTCAGGGAAACCCTTTTGCCTGAGGGCGGGGGGAGCTTCCTTGAAGAAGCGCTCGCACTAATCGGTCCTAGATTTAGGGGAAACAACGAAGTGAACTCATCGGTAATGCGCAAAACCAAGGATCGAGTAGATAAACCATTGGCTGGAAACCTGTCGCACGGATCGCATGGTACGAGTATCTTCTCCACACAAAGCATTTCAAGCATGGCAGGAGTCGGAAGATCTTGTCCGGGTCGCCGAACACACTATCGTGCCACCGGGCACTGTTGAAATACTATGTATATAATATATAATTAGCACGTACCCCTCTGCTATACAACTCCGCCTACAATTCAATGTTGAATTGCAATGTTGACGAATCATTGCAGAAAGGGGCTCCTGGTGAGAACTTGAGAGGGCCCGGATCAGGGATTCATGACAAATAAGTGCGTATGTTAAATGATGCTGCACAAGTCTCTGCTGGCTTTGCAACACTCTTTGCAATCTCCCAACCTGCGCAATGCTGAGGGTTGCTGCATCACGCAACAAGGCTGGATGCTGCCCGCAGAAGGCCAGCGCTGAAAACAGTGTGCCAGTGCCTGGTTGCTGACATCTCAACTGCATGGAAGCTCCATCAAGCTCAGCAACAAATCGCACTTGGGCCAGCACTCAAAAGGGTGATAAGTGACACAATCGCTGAGCACAAATTAACCCAGAGCATCTGGTTGTACCTGAAATGCAAAGCCAGGCAGAATCAAAGCAAGATTAAGCAGATTGCCAGACTTGATCATACTTGATCAACTTATCACTTGGCTCATGGTGGAGACATTCTGAGGGAAATACTTGGACAGGCCATACTCCTTAAAGAGCTTCTCTTGCATTGGTGAAGTAATTCCGTCCAAGGCCAGAAATAGCAAGAGCAGCAGAAGACCTCGCTGCAAAAAAGGACACCCATGAGGACCCGCTGCAAATGCCGAAAATGCAATCTTACAGAGTCTCATGAGACCCATCACATATTTCGCTTGTCCAGTTCCCTGTATTGTCGTTTGTGGTCTCACAGTCTCAGCTGCCTTTGATGCTGTTGTTGGTGTTGTCGTCGTTCTCTCCAGAAGGACTTGCGATAGGTCCGGTCAGAAGAAATTGGGTAACACCCCAGGTCACAGCCAGAGCAACTCCCCACTCCTGAAGCTTTTCAGTCCACCATATTGACCGCCTTACTGCCCCTTGAAAAGTCATGATGTCAACTTTAGAATTGAAAAACTGCAGGAACAAATTCGCGGTCCTTGGCTTTGTATTGCTTGGACCTTAAACGGCAAACAAAAGGCTGGGTGCCTCCGCGTGCTGTACTGTTGACACTAGTTAAGTATTTGTGAATATCTATCAAAATCTATCATGGAATGTCATGATTGACCCTTTGGACAACTCTCGCCACAAGTCAAGGCGGGCACTCTTCAATGACTGGGTAAACAGTTTGTCAACAGGTTCGTGAAATGATTTGTGAAACGTTTGAACCGGCCAAGGCACGAAATGACAATGCCCCACAGCATGACCGGCATCATCTTGAAGCTCTTGCCAAGCATCTGCACAGGGAATGATACCTGATAACGAGGTATACGGTATAAGCATAAATGGCAAGAAAATCATAAATGGCCAGAAAATCAATATGTTACTGAAAGACAAAAAACAATGCAGTGTGGCAAATCGAGACACATACTTCAATGCTTCGTACTGGCACGTGGTCGCTAGCACGTTAGACAAAGACCTGGGAGCGGCAAAGAGTCTGCGACTCAGAGTCCAAGCAAAGCTCAGTTGATACTAACATCATCTACCAGCATATGTTATTGAAAACCGCTAGGTTGGGCAGGTCTGCCAGCACCGAAGGCGCCAAGGCGTTTATATAACCTATGAAAGCAGTGTTACACATCAGCCTTGATCAGTAAGCACAAAAGCTTTGGCGAGGGGGAGGTGCCTCTGCTTGCATCATGGTGCCTATGGGAGTTTCAGTCAAGCGCGTCTCGGGGCACTATGTGATAATATAACGGTGTTTTTTCGGTATATTTGTGGACTCGGATATCTTTTTTATCAAGTTGTGTATGGTTGGAAGCCGCGGAAGTCACGGCATACTAGGCAAAAACTTGTGTTCCCCAAAGTAAACGCGACGCCAAGAGCGGGGTCCCGGCATAGTCCTTGCAAAACGTTGTTCCCGCATGTAAACGCGATGATTTGTGAATGTTTTTGGTGTGTTCTCCCCAACACAATTCTCATGTATTCAAAACAGTGTTCCCGCATGTAAACGCAATCATGTAGAAGTGTCACTTAGCCATGTTGTGCAAAAACGAGGTTCCCGCATGTATTTGGCAATGCTTTTTGATGTGTTCTGAAGTTCCATCCGAAGCACAATTTTCATGTATTCACAACAAGCTTCTGGCATGGAAGCGCAGTGATTTAGCAATGATGTTAATCTCCTTGTGGTCCCTTGACATCTCTTTGGACCAGGCTCTGGACACTCTACTTGAGTCACACAAGTTGCGGAGAGATATCGGAACAAGGATGAACGAGAGGGTGAACGAGGTCAGAGCCCGTGCCACCAAGGAAAGCCCTCAGAAGGAAAACCTCTAGTTACCTCATCATGTATATGCTCTCGCCTCTGTCCTTCTTTCTTTCTTTCTGTCTTTCTTTCTTTCTTTCCATCCTTCCTTCTTTCTTGTCTCCCCGCTTGTCTGCTGTGATCGGCGTTTTGTCTGCCGCTGCTGCCTTGTCTCCTTACTTGTTTCCCCACCTGCCTCCCCACTCGTTGGCCTGTGCGATCGGCGTTTTGCTTAATGTCGTTTTGTTTGCCGCTGCTGCCTTGTTTTCTCCCCAACTAAACACAACATCACCACGACTTCCATAGATTCAAATCCCCAAGTAAACGCTTCGCAAATTGAATGTCGCCACGACTTCAACATTTGAGAGTATGATGTCTGCAGCAATGGATGGATGGACCAGTGGGTGGCTACCTACCACAATTGATATCCAATAAAATTGGCTTGGATAGAATCTTTTGTTTCCTGTATGGGTGCATAAGGGCACCATGCTGTAGTGCAGCCAGTCTCTGTCGAATCGTTGCAGCATCACGTGTTGTGATCTCTGGAGATATCCGTAAAGCACAGCTCTGCAGTCAAAGATCACTACCATGTATCGCCAAACAGGAGCATTGAGCTTCCACTCCTCGCCCTTGACCTTTGCCATGAACAATCCAAACCTGCAGTGCAAAAATAAAGCTGGACACCACTGGACACTCCAAAGTAGCGGTAGCTTCACTTGACAAACGTTTCGTTCTTGACTGCAACGTCCCACAAGATCCTTTTGCAGCAAAACATCATGTGTACTGCAAAGGCGATCGCAAGCTTGGCCAAGGTACCAAATCGCGAGAAATCTGTTGCAAAAGACCAGGAACCTTACTACGCCACAAATGATTCAGTCGTTGTTCAATCGCATCGCACGTTGCATTCACCGGATGAAAAGAATTTGTCCTAGCCTGTTTGCAAGTAAGTAGCACAGAGTCGCCAAACATTGCACCATCATATGGCTGGGACATGATTCGTTCCTGGAGCAAACCATAGACCCACAATGCTCCAATGATTCCTGCAGCATAGACCTGGGCACTCACTGGTTGCTCATCATCCATGGTTAATCATTGAATGTTTGAAGCTCAAAATGTCGCCACCAATGTGGAGAACGAAAAATGGCTTGACTTGACTTGACTTCTTCCAATATGTCAGGCTGCACCACCCCAGAAGACAGTCTGAGATGTGCTTCTCTCTTCCGTCATTGTGAAAGCCAATATGAAACCTTGGCATTGCCAAATCGATTTTCTGAGAGCTTTTGAAGAGCTGAATAGTTTTGAGTCTCACTGGTCTACATCAAGTAGCTGATTGAGTGCAGAGGGCAGAGGGGATGGGTTTTCCCTACTCTGAAAGCCCGAGCCATAATTTCACGTGAAATGAGCGAGATGAATGAGTGCCCTCCCTCAAGTTCCAACCACACTCACAAAAGGATCAAGGATTCTGCCAGTCTTCAGCGTGAAGGATGCCGATAGTCAAATCTTGCACAATATCTGGCACACGAGCACTCCCTAAACTTCAGCCTTCTCTCGCAGGATCAAGTCAGATATCTTCTCTTCTCTCTCTTGCTCATCATCCGATGCCAATGGTAAAGCCTCGGGAAAGGCTCTACGGACATGCATCTACAATTTGGATCAACTTGGTAGCTCCACACCCTATGGGGAAATCCACGAACCCTATCGCCTGCGTGCCCAAATGCTTGGACGCAAAGATTGCTGGAACCCTTCAACCACTTTGTTGTAAGGGTTGGTGCAAGGAGGTGTGCAAAAGGTATCTCTATCTTCTAGCAGCTGTACCAAAGTTCACTAACCAAAGTGCACAGTAGATCCAGCTAGGCTTCGCACACTGGTCAGAAGCCGCGCCAGTCGTTTTGCACGGGTTGCAGCCAAGCTTGCTTTGCCACTTTTCCCACTTGTGCCTTAATGAAAAACTTGGACAACAAACATTCGGGCTACCTCCATGAGAGTAATGTGATGGGCAGTGTTGAGATCGAAGTCGCTGTGTCCACTGAAGCAGCACACCGCAGAACCCATGTAGAAGCATGCATAATTCCAATGGCTTGAATGGTTGCGAGAAGAACTGCAGATCTGGCAAGCACAACCAAGCAACCAGGGCGTCTTGGACCCCCAAGATGCCGTTGGAGGTCTGCTCCTGCTTGCAAAGCCTAGGATCTGAGCCTTGCAAAGCCTATAAGTCTGTGCACAGCGGAACTAAGGATGTGGCCACAAGAAGCTTTCTGTATAGAGTGTCGTCAAAACAATCCCGTGGCTCCACCAACGAGGGCCTGGAAGGTCACATCACGAAAACAAGAACCACAGTCAAAAAATACGAGAGTCACGATGTTAGTTGGCGCTCGCCTAGTAGGTAGCTGCTGGACCGACCTGTTTCTCTTGTGTACAACTTTGTGCTATTTCCTGTCTGTTCTGTAGCATGCTCGGCCAATGCTCGCGGATGAGTACTAGCTTTGCATGTAGCGTGTCGGACAAATGTCCGTCTTTCCATGCGAGACAGTGCTGGGATGAAAGTCGTAAGTGTGCTTGTCAGGAAAACTGTTCTTCTTTCCGTTGCGAATATTTTCTTGTGACCTATGTGGCCTGGCCTCCGAAGTGACCTTGTCCAATCCTGCTACGCTGTGTGCGAACATGCTACGACCAAAGACATGGTGTCTGGTGTCTTCAGCGACGAGAGTGCAGGTGCTGTGTCTTGCTCAGTCTTGCTCAGTCTTGCTCAGCAAAAATGCGCAGCTAAAAGGATGGCTCCACATGTCGTCACTTGTGTTCCATCGGAGCTGCATCTACCAGGCGAAACAATGCAACATATACATGTTCTTTTCTTTTGGTCTACTGCTAGTGACTGCTGCAAGCAAGACCTCAGGAGTTGCCAACAATGTTTTGCGGGTAGGAGGTGCACAAACGAGTTCCCTGCAAGTAAACAAACAAACAATAAAAAACAAACATTGACATGCCGCACTCCTTGTGGTGCGTTGGACACGCATCAAATTCAGTCAAAATGTGTGTTTGAGCGGTCCGCTTTGCAGACTAGAATGTTAGGTGTCCCTAAAGATCTAGGAACCAAATCATTAGTGCATTCAAGGAAGCTCCCCCCCCGCCCTCAGGTGGGGGGAGCTTCCTTTTGCTCTCTTGCTGGTCCACGGGGTCGTCAGCGACTGGAATGCTTCCGCGACTCCAGTCCAGATCCTACCTGTAACGAAGACCTACAGCAGCAGGTCAAAAGGGATGGCCCAGGAGGCCGGTGAGGCCTTTGCCCCCCGTTCGAAGGCCCTAAACAACACCTCAAGAGTGGCATTATCTACAAACGCCTCGGCGCCGATGAAGGCGCCTTTGGGGGAGGTGCGCCCGTTACACTTGTTGCCCTTGTCGAGCAGAAGTGGGGCACAAACGACTCCAAGGGATTTGCAACGCGAAATAGCAGCCCTTGTGGTCGCTGCATATGCTTGGACTGTGCAGATTGTTCCAGTCGGAAGCTCATAACGCCAACCCTGGAGGAAGGCGAACACTGCAAGTTCAAAAACTGAGCATGCTCTTCCCTCGCCCACACGCCAGCGAAGGGTATTGGCAAATTGCAGAAAGGTGCGAAAATTGGTACTGGACAGTTGAGGCCTGCTTTTGAAGTCCATATCAACATTGTTATGCACTTGCCAGGGGAAATCATCTGGCTTGGCATCCCATGCCCATCTGGGGCATTGTTCACGTGGGGAAACCCTCCGGCATGGTTCTCGCTCAGGTGGAGGATCGGCAGGGACCAAAGGAGTATCCTTTTTGCAGGCTTTGTTGAGGTTAGCAAGCCAAAGTTGTCTGGCAAACACATCTTGCTCTTTGAGGCGAATATCAGCATGGACCCGACGTGCATGCTTGTCAATCTGCTGTTTGGCATGCCAGTCCGCCGGTCGGTTGGGCGGGATGTCTTGCCGATTGGAGCCGGCTGCAGTGGCCGGTTCATCTGTAAGATCATCTGCCGGAATGTGCTCCAATAAACGCGCTGGGCACCATACTACTTGCAGAGGCGTGTCACAAAAACCTTGCCGTTGATGCAACAGTGTATGAAGGAAGCCCCACCAAGAAGTGTGGGTCCACTCAACCTGGACACAGTCAAGCCGAAGCAGCTCCCGGTATTGGTCGACAACCGTGAGGGAGTCAGTATGCACCACAAGCGGCTGCTCTGCCATGGCAAAGGCAGTCAACACCGCCCAAAGTTCAGCAGTATAACTTGACAGTCTCCAATGGTGCACCTGACCTGAAGCAAGAAGTTGCTGGTCAGCAGACACAACGGCAAAGGATGCCATCGTGATCCAAGGGTGCTTGGAGAGTTGCACCGACCCATCAGTCCAGACATGTAGGGTGGGTGACAGGGGCTGTATCCACTCAGCGACCTGCAGATCACATGGTCGAGACACTTGCAGCTTGTTGCGTATAACATCAAGTGGAAGCTCAGTGATACCCAGCAAATCAAAGTTTGGTCCCAACGAGAAGAGCGACGTTGGCTGCTTTAAGTCAGCTGGTAATGACTGACATTCCTCAACAAAATGGTGCATGGACTCCTTGGAGGAGTGGCAAAACCTGCACATAGAACTATCCACCAGCCCGGCCGCTGCAAGCCGGTCGGCTGTAAGCGCGCAGCCTGTGATAGCGCTCTCCCAGTGAAAGAGAGAGGAAAATTTGTTGTTGGGTATAGCTGCAAGCTTTTTCCGGGCAGAAAGGGTCAAGCCCAAGTCCAGAAAGCCCAGAGCTTTATGGATATCCTTCCTCGGCATGAGACAAGCAACACTGTAGCACTTGTGAGCGGCTAGGCTTTTCAGGATGCACTTGAGGTCAGCTGCAGAGAACTCCAAGAAGTGAACTTCCGACGCACCCAGAACTGAAATCCCAAAGGGACTGCTCCATTCAATATCCAGGATCTGACAAGCTTGGCCGAATTGCGTCATCCATGCTTGCGGTGTAAATTGGTCCTGCTCAAACATCATGGTCCAACTTTGCCGAGCAAACTGCGATGAGCGGAGAAAGCGAGCTGATTCAATAATGGTAGCAACTGCTCGGTAGAGGAAAGGATCCAACTTGTGGGCCTTGTGCGCAATACATAGAAGCAGGTGCTTGGATCGCCACCTCGGCCTATCCTGCCAAATAGCATCGGCAATTGCACTTTGAAGCCTGGCCAACAGCTTAGGGATGAAGTTCAGTTGGGGCGCAAATGCAATTTGCGGCAGGACCTTAGTGGACAGGATCTGAGCACGCTTGTCGCCATCACATGGTAGGGACCGAATGGCCTCACAGTCTCGGAGAGCAGCCTGCAGCTTGACAACAGGGAAGCACCCAACGTTTTTCCTTGTAGTTTGAACAAAAGCGCCAAGGATGTTAACAACCTCAACGAGACGCATCTGTGGGAAAGCTTGCTTGAGGGCCTTTCGCAGAGGAGCATGAGATGCAAAAAGCTCACATTTACCTGCGTTGAGAAACTGTCCACATAATGAGTCCCAGAGCTCTGTGGCCCGAACTGCAGCAACCAAACTATCGATGGAGGGCATTCGGGTCCACAAGTAAGTGTCGTCAATGAAGGCTCTAAAATCAACTCCATGAATGCAGGAAACCAGCCAGGCCCAGATTGCCATATGTATGTTGATGCAGAGCAAGCTAAGCGAGCATCCCTGAACAACGCCATTCGGAGTGGAGATAGCCTGGGCTCTCGTCCATTGTTTAAACGAAAGAAATCGGGTCATCCGAGTGTAGAGGCTGAGGAAGCCACAGACAAAGTGCTTGGGTAGCCCCAGTGCCAGCATGATGGCTGCGCAATGCTGCGCAAAGCTTTGGCATGAAACGATCGAAGCACTTGGCTTTGTCCAGCTTTAACGCCGCGAAGGATCCATTATGGCTGTGTGCCCGATCAATCTCCATCTGGATGGTCATATGCACTTCAGACATCTGACGCCCTTTAATACCCCCAGTCAACGGGGGGAGCTTCCTTGAAGAAGCGTGAGCTATCCTGCGTCCAGTAGCGTCCTTAGTAGCTACTAGCTACCTCTTCCTCTTCTACTAGCTACCTCTTCTAGAGTGGTGATATGTGGTGATGTATGTGATGCAGAAGAAGGACAAAATGTCAGGACGGCCCTTCAGGCAAAAATAACCGCTTCAATCTGGCGGATCAGTTATCTGCCTCGACCCAAGTGGCACTTGATATCGTGTGTGGCGATCTGTGATGTGATGTGATGAGGTGAAAAGTGTTGATTTGATGTGAAGCGTAAGTGGTGTGATCACTTAGAAACGTTAGGTAGATGTATGTTTTCCGAACTCCACGTTCCTGTCGAGACCACAGCCGTATACTGTATACGTTTGATTTTCCCGCGCTAATTCTCCTTCTTTCCCGCAGTGACATCTATCTTTCATACCTTGCTTTAGAAACGTCGATATACAGTATACTTTTCTAGACTTAGCTTCAAACATGTACATTATACGGTGGTGGTTGGAACATGTTCGAAATTCGTCACAAGTCCCCATTGCCAAGTCCGCAGCTTCTCCAATGCCAATAAACTCTGAATGCAAATAAGACCACGCAAAATCTCCTTGCGGTCAGAGTTGCGGAGTTCGTATCTCAGTGTTCAAAGCGTTGAAAAGAAACAAGTTTTCTTTGAGCATGGGCAGTGCCACAAGAGGCACAAACACAAGATTATTACGTATCATCCCGAGCAAGGGCAGTAGAAGCAGCCATTAGCGATATCATCCTGTTACTGTTACGGTGCTTTCTCTGGATTTCCCAGGCAATTCTGAATACAGCCTTAGATCTAGATCTATTCTACTCTAGAGATCAAACACGCTCTGCAATCGCCCAAATTGTCAGTGCTGACGGCTACCAGGGAAAACTTTGGAAGGCCGCCTCCCTCCGTGACAACACTCAAGGCCAGCGTGCTCGTATCTGTACTTGTGCTCATTGAAGTCCATAGGACATCTTCTACCGATGTCTTCAATCTTCCGTCAAACCTAGAACCAATCGCAATTAGGTTGGAGGCCAGCTCCTGAAATCCAACTGCAATTGCCGCGGCGCGCTCCCCTAGCTCGGCTTCGCCGACCTGGACCGCTTGGTCAAACGCATGTTCTTCAAATTGACAAAAGTAAAGCACCTTTGAAAATAGAATGTGTATATATATATATATACATAATTAATCAGGATTGATCAAGTATATATCAGTTGCTGGCACATTGAGTTCCCGAACCTGCAAATCCTGCAGTAGGAGATCAAGAGAAGTCATCACTGAATCATAAAAGGCTGAAGGCTGTCGCCTTGGTGTGCAAGAACTGTCAAACCCACAGTCTCAACGTGCCAAACACCATCGAAACGTTGTGCTCCAAAACCCTACTACGCAAAGGAAATCTCAAAGGAATTCTATCTTAGAATTCGAGAACACTTGAGAGAGGAGGGGGTGAACGAAAGGTAGCAGGCAATCACAAGTAACCCTGGTAGAAGTCCATGACGCCGTGAGCCGGCGCAGGGGGGATTTGATCCAGGGAGGGGGGGGGCCCCCCCCCCC